ATAAATTACCATTTCTATTTACAATTAAATGTAATCTTCTGTCCTCCCACATCTTAACAAAAACAGCATGCCTCACATTCTAGTCAAAGTTTTGAGAAGCGGTACGCTTCTTGTTGACAATGGTTACTGATGGCTCAACTGGAACTAAATCAGCTTGTAAGTTTATTTTGAGTGGGCACAAGTCGGGCCTGTGATGTGCTAGTTTCTCAAAACATATCAAAATTGTGCGTGAAAACGCAACATCCATCTGGCCAGCAAGATAGTCAGGTAGAAAATCATCACGTAATCTTGCATATGGCTGCCACGTAATCTAACAAGAGAAAATAACAAAGTTAATTGAAAATTAAAGAAAATTCGAGTAGAGTGACTAAAAATTCACATAAATTATATTCTTACATTGTCATTCGTGAGCAGCAAATCAAATTCTTCTTTTTTCTTTTTCGCATAAACATTTTTAGACTTGCGCTCCACTGAGTTGGACCATCCAACCATTAATGGGAATGTAAAAATCAACTCCCTATCTTCAAAATCTTCTCGATAAATATCGAAATCATAAATAGTGTGGGGAATTACGGGCATGTGTTCGTAAATGAAAAACTGCACACAATTGAAAAATGTAAGTTATAATTCATTAACTTACATAAATTATAGCAATGAACGAAATAAATAAAAATAATAATTACCGTGAGAAAAGGAGTACAGAAACTCATAATTGTTGGACTCTTCCCTCGGAGTCTTCCTATCTGAAAGTCTCTGAGGCCATTATGCAGATGACATAACAATGCAGCCCCCCATGCATAATTCTTTATAGAATCAACATCTCTTAATAGACCAAGAAACATGCAAGGAACTGATCTATGATCTTTTGGTGGGGTCAAAAAACAACTAATAACATATAATACATATGCCCTAATGTAAGGGTCTAGTCCAGCTCCTATTATTCCATGAGGAATGTCCTTAAAAACTAATAAATCTCTAAAAGCTATATCACATTTATTTTTCTTATGTAAAAACCTATCTGACAACAATAATTCATTACAAAGATTTGAACATTCATCTACTTTAAAATCACGCCCAATCACTGGAAGGC